CCCCAAAACCCCAAAACCCCAAAACCCCATTAATCCTGTCAGGGTAGAAACTATAAAATTAGAAATTAGTTGAAAATGAATTGGCTTAGAAAGATCGTCAGCGGCAAGCGCCGAAGACTCAAGAAGGATAATTACGACCTTGACATTACATATATTACAAGAAGAATACTAGCAATGAGCTTTCCAGCAGTGGGGCTTGAGAAAATGTACAGGAACGCAATGTCTGATGTGATCTCGTACCTTGATAAGAATCATGGAGGGCATTATAAGGTGTATAATATGAGTGGACGGTCCTATAATTACTCAAAGTTTCATGGAGTAGTGGAGAGCTATAACTGGGAAGACCATCATCCTCCTAATATAGATGTCCTGTTTAGATCCTGCCATTCGATGTATGAATGGCTTCTAGAAGATGATGAAAATGTTATTGTAGTTCACTGAAATGCAGGCAAAGGAAGGACAGGGACCAGCATATCTTGATTCCTGATCTATTCAGGTCTTTCTGCTACAGCAGAGGAAGCTATGATCTATTATGGTAGGAAAAGATTCTCTACAGGGAAAGGTGTCACTCAACCATCTCAGAAGAGATATATAAAATATTTTGAAGAGATTTACAGAGGAAGAATCAAATCTCCAGAAAAATAAGCTTTTCAAGTCATTGTCTTTCAAAGGAGTTCCTTTTTTAAATGGAACCTCAGCAAAGCTCTTTTTCGAAATAGTCAATGTGAAGACTTTAGAAGTCCTTTACTCTTCTAAGCAAGCCAGCATGGTCAAATATGACTTTTTTGGACAGCATTTAGATCGACTTCAGTGCTACGAGTTGCTTCCAGCTGATGATATAGATATGGTACTTACAGGAGACCTCTTATTTAAAATCCGAAGTGGGCATAGCTTCTCAAACAGCACCTTGTGCCGATTTTCAATTAACACCGCTTTTATTGGGCCTCAAGAAGAGTTTAAGAAAGAGGATCTTGACCCAACACAGTTTAAGAAAGACAACAGATTTGCAGATTATTTTACCCTTTCTTTACTCACAGAGAAGGGTTGTCCGACCTGACATGTAAGTTAGATTACATTTACCTCAATTTAGGCAGGAAAGGATCTAAATGACCTCTGAATAGACTGAATGGAAGACTTAGAAAATGAGCTTAGCCCTTGGTCCTATATTCAAGCAACTCTTCACGATTTGTTCATGGATCCTAAGAAAATCCCAAGCTATTCTAAAGCACTTAGGATTCATTTCTTAGATGAAACACCGGATTATGAAGAAACTCTGGAGCTGGAGGATAAAGATTTAGCAAAAGTTAAGTTAATCACCGGGAGTATTAGAAAGGACACCAATCACCAGGATATAGATGTTGAGCTAGGAAACGAAAAGAGAGTCTCCGTATCCAAGAAATTATTCAACTTTCCTGGTGTAGATGAACCAGTAAAATCACAGAGCAATGAGTCTTCACCTCAACGGTCCATCAGAGCAAAGACCATTTTTGAGAACTTGCTAGACGAGAAGGAAGAATTTATGCCTAATCTGAACCAAGAACCAAAAAGAAAGCATACGTTTATATCTGAGCCTGATAAATTACTCAAGGATCAGAAATCCGTCAAAATAGAGGAAGGGAGTAAGCCGAGTCTAATTCTCTAGAGTATGAAATAGATATCGCTGGTAGTCATACTAGTAGCTCTCATAGCCTGGTAAGCCTTGCCCATGCCTACTTTAATGGCTATTCTAGGAAGATGAAGTAGACCTGAGGGAGACTCCATACTGGAAGCGGAGAGAAATAGCTGATGGAAGTCTATACCAGGACATCCTCCAGTCAAACATTGAGGCAGCTATCCTGAAGAAAGGTAAACCAAAGCAGTCACAGTTTAGTCAAGAAATTTGAGCAAGAGAATCGAGGCCTTGACGGACAAGACAAGAGCCTTAAGAGACAGGAAGAAAGTAAGGAAGAGACCAAGCAGATAGATGCATGAGCAGAATCCAAAAATCAGAAATATAGGATTAGCAAGGAGCTTGATGAAGGCTCATATGATGTAATCCAACGAGCTTCAGTGGTTAGTGATGAAATGTTAAAGAAGAAAGTAATGATGGACTCTAAGAAAGCTTCAAAGAAGAATCAGTTTCATGGATTTTAAATAAAAATCTCTAGACTCTGGAGTGAACAACGTTAAAGAGATAATGAGAAATTCTGTGTAAAATAAATTGCACCAAGTTTGGATCTTCCCCATTGACGTTAAAATCCATATTCAATCCTGAATCACTAAAAAGGGGTTTTGGGGTTTTGGGGTTTTGGGGTTTTGGGG